TCGCTTGAAGCGACGAAAGACTATCAGTGATAATTATTGCCTCCATAGCACCACTTGTTTTACAGTGTTGAACTGCTTTGAGGATGGCTAGGGCCTCCGCTTGAAATACACTATTATTTCCATGGAGATGACCCAGCCACTGATAAATTGACTGACCATTATGAAAGGCTACAAGGGCACAGCCTGTCTGTTGATCTATTTTAGATCCATCAGTGTAATATTGAATGCTTGGGATAGGTGGCAGTGTTACGTCCTTAAGGAAAATCCGAAGTCCTGTTCCTTGAAGGACTGGATGCACATCCAAATGTTGTGAGGGTTGTTCATAGTGCAATGGTGTGAAAAGTTCATCAAATAGGATAAAAGGTTTTTTCAAAACCTTGACGGATTGTATTGCTGCTTCCTGCAGAATACGTGCCAAATCTATCGGGACGTCATTCTGGAACAACATGTACGTTTGTTTCGGGGCGCCATGGGCGCACAATTTGTGTTTATGGATGACAACGCCCGTCCTCACCGTGCAAACAGCGTAAGCGAATGCCTTCAATCGGAGGATATCACCCGTATGGACTGGCCAGCATTCTCACCGGACTTGAATCCAGTAGAGCACGTGTGGGACATGCTTGGCTGACGAGTTGCAGCCCGTCAACCTCCTCCTACATGTCTACCGGAACTTCGGAGAGCATTGCTTTTTGAGTGGTGTAATATCCCCCAAGATCAGATCGATAATTTGATACTCAGCATGCCTAGGCGTTGTACGGACTGTATTGCATCGTCTAGGAGACATACATTGTATTCATAATCATACGAACCATGTAATATTGTTTTTTTGTAAATAGTTTTTTTTTTTTTTTTTTTTTTTTTTTTTTTTTTGTAATTTGCTCCAGGGAGAAAAAATCGCAATTTTTTTAATAATATCAAACATATAGCATCTTTTCTTGCTCTTTACCTTTTGTTTAATAAATAAGCTTTACAAATAAGTCAAATTTGTTTTGCTTCTAACTCTTCCTTTGCTTGATTTTGCATTATCCTTAATTTATGGACATGAGTGTATATAAGTGTGTGATGAATGGTAATCTCAGAGATGATCTTCGGTGTGCCTTTCTTTGAAATGGCATGGATCGCCTATGTTTAGAAAAAAGAAATTCTAACTATACGCATTAAATCATGATTCGTAAGTATTGTGCAACCGATAATTAGGGCCCTTTATTGAGTAGACCAGCAAGAGGAATAAGGGATCCGTCAGAAAGATATATTCACAATTTAACGGAAAAAACTTCTTCGTAATGTGTTAGTACCGAACCTAATTATAAGTGTTTATACTGATACATATCATAGGTTAGGTTAGGTTTAACACAATATTCCTACACCCGTACCTGTGCAGTTACTTAGTGTGCTCAAAGTATTGGAGTGGTAGTCATCAGTGCTAAAACGCACAGCACAATAGCGAGCGGTTGCTTGAACAACGTTTGGCAGTGTCACCCCGGGGATTCTTGCACATGACGCTGTAATTTCTCGTTGAATTTTCTTGAGCATAACCGATTTTCTGCGCTACACAACCGTCCTTCAAGGTCATGTAAAGCCATTTTGGCTCACTATCATCTGTTATACGTAACATACAATCATTACAATCATGAGTATCATTACAATCATGAGTACCGGTATATGTTGAAAAACACCATATTAGAATAAAGACAATTTAATTTCAAAGCCAATACACAGATATATTGTAAGAAAAGATATATTTTAAGATATATTATTAGAAAAGTGTATATATTTTTAATACATGGATTTTTCTGACCCATCCTGTATTTCAAGCTAATTATGATAAATAGTATTTGTGTTGCTTTAGATATCTGAAATAAGCTTTACAAATCTATCGGGTATCCAAATACCTGTAATAAAATGGATTCAATCGCAATAAAAAAGTCTTATTTAGAGGAAAAGGGTATTTAAGTGTATAAAAGAAAAATCAATATTCAGACAACATTTCTCATCGCTCTATTCAGTATACAATCGCATTTTACAAATGTAGGATATTTATATATATATATTATTCCTTCCTTCTTACATCATATAAATACATATTTTGTTATTTATTGACCATAAACTTATTTTAGAAATTGTAAATAAATGAAATTTGCTTAACCAAAGCGTAATTTCTCAACTTCTTTTAACTGCTTAAACAAGAAAAAGAAGAAAACCCGCTTGAAGCAAAACGCACTAAGGTTATTCCATAACAGCAATAATTAAAATGCAGTCTATTTATTTAAATGTTATTATGTGTAACTGTAAGGTTATTTTGAAAATTTTTAAATGTTAATAGAACTTTTCCAATACTGAATGCAATTTTTCGAGTTCCGGGGAGTTTGAGAAAAAATATTAGTACTCCAATAGCTCATTGAATGTTACCAAAATAATAGTTGGTGTCATAACTTGAAAAAATTTATTCTATTAAATGCATACACTTAGTAATTTTTTAAATACTAGCTTCACCAAAATTCTATTAACTAAAGTATATTTTCAGTATTTTAATCGGACATTTTGATCCCCCCCAAATTTTTTTTTTCAATAACTCAGTTGAAATTTCTAACAGTTAGACATTTCCCTAATGCATTTCATATATGAAGGCTTAGATCTGTCGTAAATATTTCATTTTTAAACGCACATTATTTTAAAATGAAGTTTAAAAATGAGTAATTTAGAAGCGTTATCCGAAAAACATTTATGAAGGAAATACACTGCAGCTAAGCTATAATTATAGAATACGGTAGCTTGGTTAGAGATAAAATGAAATAAAGGAAAGATGATGTAAACATACAAATTAATTTAACTATTTACAGAAATTTACGACAATATATATGTATAACGTTTTCAATTTTAGGAGAAAATACATAATAATATTTTTCCAATATATATAAGTAATCATTCAGTACTCTATATGAATAACCGTTATCTTGTTTAATTAATTTATCTTGTTATCGACTGTTAATTAATTATAATTATTTATAATTAATTAACAGTCGAATAAAATAATTAGTATTATTAGTGAGTTAATAATTATGTAAAAAATCAAATCAGTAATAAAAAAATAATAATATGGTGATCTGCAGTTTTTCACGTTTTTGTTTGATCTCACATTTATCTTCCAGTAACTTTCTGAAAAATAAATGAGTTAGCTAGGCATTTATTGCCCTTAATAATTTACTTAATTAGAATGTATTTTAATAGTGTATTTTGTAGTATTGTATCGTGCTGGATTCCTGAATCTATATTATACGTAGCACGAGTAAAACGCTAGATTCTCTTTTCTTTGCCTAAAACGATGTTTCGCAAATATACGGTTTTGAGGGAAAGGCAACTTGCGAAATTTTCATTATTCTTTACGAATTTTTAAACGTAAAAAAGCTATTTATAATTTATATATCCCATTATGATTCATATTATTAATTTTAAACTCTTTTCACGGTGAAATTAATATGAATTTAACACTATCTTAAAACTCGTAAGAGATTTTATTGATTTTATCTTAGCAGGAAATCCACGAATGTTCATACTGAAATATGATTTATCTCTAAAACAAAGGAACAGTGATGTAAAGATATTCATTTTTACCAAATTATAATTGAATTCTGCGAATTGTCACCTGGTAGGAGCAGTGGTTATTCTCATGAATAAACCAGCTTATCGCAAGAAAATTATGTGATCATTATTATGAATCGAGCTACTTCATAAGCTTGATTTAAAATCAAAATAAGCAATACTTCAGTGTTACTGAAGATATAATCCAAAGCTCCAAAAAATGGAATGGGGTCATAAATGCAAAGATTACCGAGGGCAAGAACATTCGTACATTGATTTCGAAACTGATGACAAAAGTACCAAGCTGTCAAATTAATGAGCAGAAGCTCTGATTTCATTCACTCTGAATGCTAAAAGTCGACATATGTTCCATCCCAGGCGAATGAACACGTGTATAGTTGGTTTTCCCAGTTTTCTCCACGTGTAACGTGAATAATATTCAATTTCCCATAGAAAATCCTCGACGAAAGCATCCCTTCCCTTAGAAAGGTAGCCTTCGTACACTTTGCCATATTCAAATAACCTAACCTCTTAGATTGACCGTCATCAGTGACAGTAATGTGTACATAAATATCTTTTTCTCATGGGCAAAGAAAAATGGATCTCTAGACCTGCCTCGTAGTTCTGTACCTGCTAATCCATAGATTCCCTTTCGCAAAGCTACATAGCTTTCAAAAAATTCTAAAAATTTCACAATTTGTCGTAGACATCATCAAATTTGTATTGATCTTCAAAATATTTCAAGAAATTTTAGTTTGATCATTTCTAAAGCTGCCTACGAGCGACGATAGATCATATGCATGATTAATCTAATATATTTTTCTCAACATGAGAACGAGATTGCAAAATTAAATGAATTAAACGTATGCAAACTAATATGCTAATTCGCTTCTCTTCTTTCAAAAATGAAAATTATTCAATGAAATGTAAATCTTATATTTAATTCCAATAAACAATGGGGCTATTTTACACTTGAACTCTAGATTTTTCAAATACTTCTCACGGAAACTGCTGCGTATAAAGGAACAAGAAAGTTTAACTTATTCTTATTGCTGATAAAAATAGTCGTTTTATTTCGATTCATTGAAATAAGCATACTAAAGGAAACAAGAAGAATACTTTATTACACCCTCTTTTTAATAAAATCATTTTTAAATTTAGGCAAACGAGATTTAAATGAAATAATACCAAAAATATATCACCACTTACTTCTATTTCATTAGCTATTGTGTTTGCAATATTTTGATTATTCTTCGTACATAATGTTTTATTGCTATTTCAGAGAATGCAATTTATTCATGCAACCACATTTTTTCTCTCTTCTGCATCCCGTTTAGAGCATGGTTTCATTATTATGAATTTAAAATTGAAATATTTATTGTACTTTATGATAATACATTTTTTTTCTTTTTTTCATTTAGGTGATCAGCTTAGAAGGCTGGTCAGATATTATGTACTACGTACAAGATGCTCATTCGTTTTGGGATTGGGTTTATTTTGTGCTTCTTATAGTGGTAAGTATTTTTGATATCTCTGTTCTATAGTTCTTTGCATTCTTCTCTCACAAATTTATCAAAATACTTAGCTGTGTTTTCACTCAAATAACTGGAGGAAAATCGTATTTGATTTCGACATATATTTCAGTATTCGATTCTAATTTATGAATATTACAAAAACATGCTTTAATAGTATCCTTAAAGGCATTTCAGACAATAATTTTAGAACTTAATTATCATACATTTAGTTCAAAGTACATAAAAAAATCCTCTTATAAGAAATAAATGCCCAAGTAATTTCCTCACTTTTTATTTAAAACTTTAAACGCAAATTTTCAGTGCTAACGCAAATTTTTCAGATTTCAGTATCTAATTTAACAATATGAACTCAGTTTCCACGAAATGCTATAATAACTCTCAAAGGACAAAATATCAGTAAATAAATGTATTATAAAAAAATTCAAAATTCGTACAGAAATATATATATAACTTTCAGTTGTTGTCTTCAAAATGGGTCGGAAGCACGTGCATTCTAAAGTAGATTTTTGAATAATTGTGTTTAAACACATTATCTGAAACATATTTTACAATTTACATAATCACAAAAACAGTCTCACAGTTTGTTTGTTTATCACACCTTTAATTTTAATTCTTGCTTTCCGATCACACATCTACATCGCTATCGTAATAAGGAGTATTTTTCCCAAGTAAATGTAAAATTCTCATTTCAGATATCCGCTATCATTTGAATACTTTTCAATTTAAAATGTCTTACTAATTCTACCAGAACGTCAGAATTATAGCGTCAGCAGCGAGAGCACGTAACGCCGAATAATTTCAACTATCAATGCTGGTAGAAAACTAACTATGTAGCGTGCACGATGTACCAGAAACACGCTCTGTCTCAAAACCCAAAACCTCAGTTTAAATATTCGTAACTCATCTGTACTCTGGTGATAACTAAGAAAGTGAGAATTTAGAGTAAAAATTGAAGTTATAAATAACTGATTAATTAACATAAGATTCCCTACACATTAAAGAACATAAGTGGAATTTAACAAAACCCAAAGAAATGCGTACTGACTTCTTAAATACCGTATATACCCGCGTATAAGTCGAGATATTTTGGACAAAAAAAAGACTTCAAAGTGGGGGGTCGACTTATACGCGGGGCCATAAAAAATTAAAAGAATCGGAAGTTCAAAAATTTCTTTGTATAATGCAGTGGTTTTATTCCCGCACTCGAATTGGACGACTTATCAAATAAGTCACTTACTTGAAGTAATTTCATGACTTAAGTTATGTGACGAACTACAGTGGTGGCAAAAACTGTGGACACTTTTGGAAATTTTTATGTTTTTGCCCCTGAAAAATGCGAATGCCTGCGAACTACCCTCTGAATGATTATAAAATCATTTAAAAAATGTTGTATTAGCAATGAACTAGACGGCACGGAAGATGATGCTGTTTTTGAAAGTGAAAATGACGACGAAGGCTGTAGTAGTGATTATAACAATACAGAGTTCGAGACTGAAAATATGTATAATGACGAGCCAATGACGACAGAAGAGTTCTATGAAATGTTTGGCGAATCTGACCATGAATCAATCAGACGTTGAAGGATTTTGATTTTGTTTATTTACCAAGGTATTTTTTATCGTATATTTACTTTTTTTCTCAGGATTTTGAATAAATGTAGTACTTAAAATTTTTTTTTCGAAGTTTCTCGATCGATTTCGAAAGTGGGGGGTCGACTTATACGCGGGTTTCTTATTTTCTATGAATTTTTTATGTCGAAGTGGGGGGTCGACTTATACGCGGTATCGACTTATACGCGAGTATATGCGGTAATATAACTTCGTATGCTGGAGCATCCTTAAGAAAGTTTCTCATTTTTCGAATAGCAGTCGACTTACCTAAAAGTCCAGTTCCTTATAAAAGAACACTGTTAACAAGCGCTCCTGGCTACATTTCGCAGATCACATAGTATTTATAAACACTGTTGGACAAGCTATTGGCTAGTCTATTAGAATACAACGCTACTCAGGTGGAGTTTATCAACAAATGTGCTAAATCTCTCTCTAATTTTTCGCAATGTCGTAAAATTTAATTTACGTTACCTCACGTTTGTTCTAAAACTACATTTCTTCCTCGCTGTGTCGATTATCAAAATAAAAAGTAATAAGTTTCTTTCTTTTATGTTGAATCAATAATTTGTCTTCAAACAATGCTAACAACCTTACAGATATCATTACAGATTCTTTACCTTTTATAAAGACGGCAATTTAAGTAAAAATTTATAATTAAGCCTTTTTAACGGAAAAAAGGAATAAGTTATTATTTTATTCTGTAATAGTATATTACAATCGTTTATATATCACGAAATACAGCGGAACATCTCACAATGCTCTGAAAACACATTAAATGTCTTCAACAAATGGAAGATAGATCCAATGGAAAAACGATAACCAGATCAAAATGTTACTGAACTATCATATTAAACGATTTTAGATAGTTTAGTTCGACCTTTATATCCAAATGATAAGTTATTAGAATTTGTAAATTTTATCGCAGTTCGTAAAATATAAAGCATACGCTCACCTTTCCTATTCATTTGCTGGAAATGTGTTTTCATTTCGAAATATAATAATTAATATCTGAACATAAATTTGTATTTATTAAAGTAAATTATGCAATGGTTATAAAATTATAAATATAAATAAATAAATGATTAGCTCCAAAAAGTCATTTTTAAAGTGGAAAAGACCGAATATTTGAAAAAAATCTGTTGTTAGATACTATTACTCTGAACTCATTTCGAATCAATTAATTCTATAAGCTGAAGTGCATCCAATTTAATACTTTTGCCTCATTTATTTGCATGTGCTGTTATTTTTAAAACTAACTCGTGTACCGCAGTTAAATAATTAATCAAAATGATTATTTATCTACTGTAACTATCAATATCCACGATTAAATGGTGTATCCACCTTCGGAGAAATTTGAGGAATGTTAGTGCGATATTCGTTGGGAAATGCACAAGAAAGTTTTAAATGAAGACAACTATACAATTTAATTATTTCAGTTTCAATTTAAACTTAAAGAGTTAAACAGTTCAATTTAAACAGTTAAAAATTGAAATTATGGATATTTGTTTTCCTGTTTCTTACTGCGATATGAACTTGACCGTCTTATATGTGCTAACAGTGCTGGTTGTTTAACCTGAAATATATTTCAACAGCCAAGTAAGATTGTTCATCTTTCCTCTGAAAAATATATGACACAGCTGATTTCTCAAGAGGAAAAAGTCATACCCTTCAAAAAGAAGAAAAAAATGGCTCTTTTATGAAGAAAAATGCTCCTTTACTTTTTATTTGCTTAGTTGTTTTCTGGCTTTAATGGTTCAGTTTTTCAGCCATACTTGCGTAACTATTGCAAACGTTTTCTTCCTTCAGCTGTTATACTGTACCTTATTTTCTTTTGCGAGAGAAATATCATACTCTTACAAACAAGATACGAACCATTTTTTCTATGAATACGAATACATAAAAGAATATTTCTACTAAATCTGAAAGAGGCTAATTAATACCTTTCGTATTATATATATATAGAGAGAGAGAGAGAAGGTTTACAACTTTTGTTATATACCAGGGATATTTTCTAAAATTCAAATCATAAATTCAGCTCTGCTACATAAAATGTTTGATAACTTGTTTGCAATACCAAATACACAGTTAACCTTTCTGCCATTTTTATTTTTATCTTTTTGTTAACTTATCTCATTCTTATTTTGTATCTTGCTTTCTGGATTAGCGAGCGCAGGAAATTGGATTCTTGGTTATCGAGAAAACGGTTATTCTTTTCTATATTGTATGATACGACGTTTTACAAAATAGTTCATCTGCTATACATTTCCTATGTTGGATTTAATATAATAAAAAAATTAATAAAAGTATGATAGCTTATTGATTTGATTTTATTGTTAATTTGAAAAGCAGATGTTTAATTGTTTAGTTTAACAACATATTTAACTCATTGTAAGAAAGAATTTAGGATGATTATAGACATACAGCGCAGACATGAAACTAACTACAGAATTTTGTTTAAGAGCTCATAATATTTAATGAATAACTAATTCTTGAAACTAACTAATTCTTAATTAACTAAATCTTAATTAAATAACTAATTCTTAATTAAAGTGATTTTTCAAAATTATAACAAACAATTAACTTTTTCAAAAATATAACTAAATGACTGCCATATACGTTAATTATCAATTTTCAGAACACTCAGTAAGTTAACGTGGAAGAACTAATTAGCCCTTAGCAAGCCCAGACCTGGTATTTCTTAATTTTTTCTGCACTGTTACTTGAAAGTCTTAATTTATGCCAAATTTCCTACAAGAAACTGGAAGTATCAGTCACAGATGATGCCAGACGTATTTCAACGTCGCGAATACATGTTACTGAAGAGGTGACATAGACTAGATCTTTGCAGGATAGAAAGAAGATTATTTTGAATTAGTTTCCTAACATTCCGTGAGATGATGGACTTAAAGGACACTTCTCATGCATGAATGAGAAATAATAAAACATAGAAAAAGTCCTTCTCTTGCGAATAGACGAAGAAACAACGAAAACTTAATACTCAGATTTCAAACTTCATTCTTTGTGAAGCAGACTGCGGTTATGAACAGAGATTGAAAGCCAGAATAGTATTTGTGATATTTAGTTGTTAAACAACATAATTTTACTAAACAAACTGGTCAAGATAATATTTATATTAAAAAACTTGGTTTCTAGCCGTTGTCATTACTGCTTGTTATTGTAAGGTATCATATATCCTTGAGATCTGTAGGTCCGGAAATTAACGTAACACATTAAGTAAGAGAGCACACTTATTGTACATAACAATAAATACAATTTCAATGCGTATTTTGAATGCACAAAAAAAAGCAAAGTCTTGAAGATGCCTATTGTTTAGGACAATTAAGCATTGCTGTTATGTCTTAGATACGC